TTCAGTCTATAAAATAATAGAAACATTATCAGCACCATCTTGTCAGTTAATAAATTTTTAAAATACTTAGCTTAAAGATTTATTTTTGGGTATTGGTCTGATAAAAATTGTAAATATCATTATTAGTTGTATGACTTAAAATTTTTATTTAAAAATTGCAAATTAAGAAAACCGGCAAAAAATATGATTTGCTTCCTTTTTACTAAAATTAATAAAATTTTAAGTTTGGGACAAAACAAGTAGAATTTAAAAAAATGAGCTATGGTTGATCTTAAAAAAATTAGGCTGATTGGTTAAATTATTTTTTATTAACATGATATTATGAAATTCAAAATTCAAAATTTATTACAAACCTGTTTATATTTTATTGGCATATATATATTTATTTACAATTAATGGGTAAAAATTTGTAACTAAGTGGCACTGGCATTGTTTAAAAATAAGATTGAAAGAAATTATATTAATATTTTAAATTCTCTCACTTCAAACTTTAGGGGCCATATTAGTCGCCATTTTAGCTTATTTGTCTTTATGATATTTTTTAATATTCGATAGAGTGGACCCAAATCTAAAATTTAACTTCAATTTTATCCTGAGAAATTGGATGAAAAGAATAAATTTTTTGCGTTCCTGGTATTGTACGTGCTTTATTAGATCTCTCCCCTAAAATTATTTGTTCTTTCTCATATTTGTCTTCCATATAATATAGGAAAAAAAACTATTCCTTAATAGAAAAAATTATAATATATTAATAAATTAGGAATCTTATACCTATAATATTTTCCTTAGAATAGGCAAAAGGATAAGTTATTTGTTCTGAAAGAGGTGTATGTAAACTGGCCCTGGGCACTAAACGTTTTACTTTACTACACCGATTTGATGTAATACCACTCAACTTTTATTCCTAGATCATCTTCATCGTGGCCAACATTGATCAAATAGGATTCATATATTGTATTGCTACTCTATCTGAAAAGTAGATGAATTTTTTTGGTCAGCATTGAAATTTATCTGTTAAGTAACGAACTAAATATTTTTGGAATGAATGACCGGCAATTGTATTATGAATGAGAAATTCAGATATTATTAAGTGACTTGTAATAAATCACAAAAGGAGGAAAGGTAACTAGCGCTTCCAGTGAAACCTCTGTGCTTAATCTTGACCACAAGGGCATAATTTTCAGCATGAGCATATTCTCCTTAATTTAAATTAAATTTAAAAATGAGTGTAATAGTAAAATATTTAGCTTTTCAGAAAGAGTTTCTATAAAATTAGAGGTTAATGAAGTGATAGTTACAAAATTTGTATGTTCTGTAGTAAGAGGGGTGATGTAATATACTCTTCATTCGTGTAGAAAATAAATTCGATATAACTTGAATATAATATTTAGAAGATGCAGGGCATTGAGCACAATCACCAATATCTCATAGTAATTTTAGACAAACTCATCAGCATTAATTTTCCATCAGTGATATTGAATAAAATTCTAATTGATTTGCACCTAGAATAAATGTTTTTCCACTTTCCAAACCCTTAATATTATTGTTAGACAGACGATCTAAAATAATAAGCATGCAGATGGGCTTAATTTTAAAATTAATCTGAACGGGCAAATTAAGAATATTATGCAGAGTGAGATTGCTAACAATATTTTCATTTTCCTTAAAAACAATATTTTTTCAACCATAATCCTTAGTTTCATATTACGCCATCTATTTTCTTTCAAATTTTGGTAAAAATGTATATTTCTGAAAAGTTGTTAGCGTCGCCAAGGTTTTGACATGGTATATTATTTATAAAGGGTGTCTAAATAAAAGGCATAAATTTTTTCCTGAACTCCCTTTATTACTTAAAAACACAGGTAAAACAATATAGGTAAACCAAAATTAAGGACTTAAATTGGCGACAAATTATTTTATTTTTTGATAGACCCTTAGAGATTTTTTACCTACAATATGATATAATATAATTTATTTTAATAAATAGTTTTTGAGATATAAGAATCAAAAATTTTACAGATTCCAAAGTGACTCTTTTTTGCACCTATGAGCCACTTTATCTCAGGAACCAGTAGAACTATTTAGCTAAAACAAAAGGATTTCTCATCTAAATAATTCCAGAAATTTTTAAATTAAAAGAGGTCTGCCAAAAATCTGCCATTTAAGAATAAATTAATAATGTAATCATTTCTGTAGTAAATGTGATAAATAAGTGTAAAATGGAATATATGCAATCAGTGGGGGGGGGGGGGAAGGGGGGGTCCGAAGCAATCGCTTCAGTAAATTTGAGTGGGGGTACTTTTTTTTTAAAAAAAAATTTTTTTTTTAATCTTTTTTTTAAATTTTCTTTATTATTTAATTCTTTTACTGTTTTGTTACATCCATCATGATCAAGTGATTTCTGGTTTATGACCCCCCCCCCCACTTAATATTTAATTTAATGTATATTGACGGAAATTTTTCTACTTATTTTTTAAGCATAATATGAATAGATGGTAGTATTCATATTTTAATTTAAATATCTTATCGTCCCTCCCTCCCTTTTTTTAGGAATCAAATGATCCCATCAATATTGTTGGAAGAAGGATTGACAAATTTATAATTGATAAATATCTAGAATTATCTTCAACCTACACATTATTTATTCCCCAAGATAATAATAATAATAGAAACAGATCCTTTAATGAAAGCTTTTATGAAAAAACTAATATTGACAATAGCAAAATTGCTAGAAATTGGATTAATTATAGTATTAAAATGAATAAAGTTTTTTGCTTGAGGTCCACACTCAAATTCAAAATGGACATGTAAAGGTGTAGATAAATGGCAGAATATTAATCGTGATATTATTCTGTATGAATCTTCACAGGCACATATGATGGCCGATTATGGAAGGCTTTCTCACAATAAAAATTCGATATTAAAATTTATAACACCCCAGAAAGAATGTGTAGCTAATAACCGTTCTATCATAAGAATTATAATAAGATGTTTAGATTATTTAATATCTCGTAACCAAGCCTTCTGGGGGAACAGGCAACAAGAAGACAATATGATGGCCCTTATTAAGCTTATTGCAGATTCTGAACCTGTACTAAAAATGTATATACAACAAAATGAAGAAAGAAAAAGGGATAAAAAAAATAAGGGATTAAAAACGAAATTATATTCAAATCTATTATCATATAATAAGATAAATATTCTCATTGAAACCATGAAAAATATGGTTATAAAAAAAATTCAAAATGAGATTACATTTAACAGGCGCTTTTCAATCATAGTTGATGGCACATATGATGTTTCGAAATCAGAAGCAATAGCTTTGATAGTAATATATGTTGAAAATAGTGAGACGCCGAAGCCTGTTGAAAGACTGATCGGCATATATTGTATGGGAAATCCACAAGTCTCGATATTAAGCACAATATAATATCCAAACTCGGCTCGATAAATTTACCCCTTGAATTTCTAGTTGGGCAAAGTTATGTTGGTGCCTCAAAATTGAGTGGAAGAATCAATAGTGTGCAGGCCTTGATTAGAGCAGAGGCGCCAAAGGCATCTTTTATTTGGTGTTATTGTCATCAATTAAATTTAATCATTGTTCAATTAAGCCAATTAATTAAAGAACTTCGAAATGTTCTAGGAATACTAGATGAGATTTATATCTATTTTAATGGTGTAAAAAGATATGAGGTACTCAAAAAATGTCAGTGTAATGATATGAAAAAATCGCAACGATTTCTACGCATCAAGAATACCACTTGGTAATAGTACCTTATATATTTAGATTTAAAATGTTTTTCCATTTAGAAGCTAGCTAACGTCATATAAAGCTATTGTAATTTTTTTCTACTTAATGATGCCTTGAGGGCAGCTTTAACTAATTTAAAGGGTTCTGAAGATCCTGCCACTTTCATTATGGCTAGTGCTATAGTCTTTAGAATAGAAAAATTTGATTTTATCTTATCACTTTGTGTTTTGGATAAAATATTGCTAATAAAAAGTTTGGCTTGTACAAAATTGCAAACCATTTCGAAGGATATAGGGTTTGCAGTAAATCAAATTTAATTAACAAAAGATTGCTTGATTAATTTGAGAAGTATAATATAAATTATTGTCATAATTATTTTTTAATCTAATAGATAATAACACTGAATTTTTGGATGTTTTTTCAAAGGCACAAGATTTTATGAAAGAGAGAAATCTACCTATTGATTTTGAAAGTTCCAGACTTCAAACATTACAATCCAAAAAGGAGAGGTATATATACTTTCATCATTAAATATAGAAATTTTTTTTAGTTTTAAAATAGGTGTGTTTTATGCTGCACTTCCTACAACCTCATGTACTGCTGAAAGAGACATGAGTAAAATTAAATTAAAACAGGACTAGTACCATGAAAGATTCATTTCTCAATAATTTAACCATATTATCAATGGAAAAAAATTTATTTAAACAATTAAATATTGATGAAATTATAAAGTTGCTTTCTCTTCCCCTAATTTATCTAAATTATTAATTTAAAAATAATATTTATAAAGTATATTTTTTTTGCATTTTATTTATATTATATATTAAAAATTGATGCAATAAAAATTATCTTTGAAATTTATGGGTGTCATAAAATAATTATCATTTTTTTGAGGGGGGGGGGGGAAAGATAAATTAATATTCATAGCTTTGGAAAGAGGGGGTTGTCTCTCCCCACTGCATATATCCCTGAAAAAGATATAGAAAATGAATACTTTTTATAAAAATAACATGGATAAGTTTAAATATTTATATATCTTGATAAACTGGGAAATTATATCAACAGAATCTATTAATAGGTGAGCATGTATATAGATATTTTTTTCATGTGTGATCTCAATATTTATATAACATAATAAACTTCCTATCTAATGTGTAATAATATATAACGCATATCTCAATAAAAGATTTTTTTAGCATATTAAATAAGTTTAAAAATATTATTTTACCAAATATATAATTAAAATTACCTGTCCTGCAGTGTCAATAAAATTCACTTCATATTCCTGACCTCTGATATTGAGAATTTTTGTATACGCTTAAGATATATATTATCTTTTTATAACTTTAAAATTGTAAATATTATACTATTTTCAATTGTTGGATCATAATTGAATGCAAAATTTCCATTAAGATATTGTTGTATAAGTGAAGTTTTGCCTTAATTTCATATTGTAAAATAAATATAAATTATCTAATAATTTTAAACATATGAGTTGAATCTAAATGGCTAAGCTTAATCTCTATTTATCAGTATAATGTGCATATTTTTTATTATAAGAAGCTAAATTATTTATAACTAACCTACAGATCTGAATCCTAGGATGCATATTTTTCTACATTTAATAGGCATAATCTCTAATCCTCGTATTCATAATGTGAAATCGAGTATTGTTTATAGCTTGCATGTTATATAGATTCTACAAGGATAGAAGATTCAGGGGTGTAAAAGGCAAAGATAATGATGCTACTAACTGTTGACCTACCACTATACGAGAAACGTCTAGATGTATAGTGAAGAAGATTCAAAATTATCACTAGGAAAAAATAGATTTTTATTAGTATAGTCAAATGTACGTTATTTTTAAATTTAATACAAAAAAGAAAGATTTTATTTTAATTATGAGGGACTTTAATCACTAAAATAAATATTGCTAAAACAAAAATCGCTAAAAATTAAGAGTTTTATTTATCCAAAAACAATTTGTGGTTAAAACCCCAATGAAACATTTCTAAAAGAGGCTTCATAGTTAAGGGGCCCTTTGCGGGTCTAAGAACTTTACTCTACATGAATTATATGATTTTATTTAAAATTTATCCTTGATCCATTTTAAAGAATTCCTCGCCTTTGAGTTTGAATGCATTATTCTTCTCATTTATATATCATTGTGTTCATAGTTATTATACATATTATTTCATTATTTGATGGTAGTTTTTACGATTAGTTACCCAACAAGAAGATATACGAGAATCATCAATCGGGATCATATGGTTTTGGAGATGGAAGAAAGTTCGAAAATAATTGCTGGGCATTATGGAATGAAGATGCTTATGATTGTGATATTATAATATATTTTAAATATGATTAATATTATTTGTATACATGGTTTATTTGATTGAAGTAAGAATTATATGAATCCAAGTTATATATATGCTATATATTGGCGGCGATATGGAATTAACCTGATCAAATGAAATATATTAATGAATCGACTAATGAAGTATGAACTATTTTTATATGTGTTATTATGCTGAGCAATATGAATGTATTAGCTATTTTTTAAGGATAAAATTGTGAATTAGAATTCAATAAATAAATTATGGAATATTGTGTAAGGATAGATTTATGATTATGTAATGGTTCTGATATTGAATGAATTATTATAATTGCTGACAAAAAAATGATAAATGAATTTGCAAAAGAAAATAAATAAAATCAGAAATAGTTAATGTGGTACAAATGAAAATGTTCGATGATTAAATCTAAATAATATAATGAAATTTCTGAAGAATGAAGTATATTCACAATGCAATTTTTAAACATGAAAATATGATAAAATTTTAAATGAATATATTGTATAATATTTTGGGTATTAAGACTGTTTGAAATTTGGATGATAATTCTATGTGATGAAGATTTGGGAATCTGATATTAACAATAAATATGATGAAACAAATTTTGGAAATCAGAATTTTACTAAAATTGGGTAAATAATCTATATTATAATTTTCCGATATCCTCACTACGTCATCGTTACGTCATGTCATCGGTACGTATTTATTTTTATTTTTTTTATTTGTTTATTTATTTAATTAAAACAGATGATTGGATTTGATGGTGTACACATACCTAACATGGATGAAAAACAATATTCCCTCAAATTTGTAAATATGAATGTTTTTATTTCACTTAATCCTTTCTTTATTTTTTAGATTACCTTATTAATTTTCATCTCATATTATCAATTACACATTAAAGAAATCTTTTTATACTCATATTTTTCTTTCATAACCAATAATTAAGAAGATAACCAAGTATATTTTAAATATTCTTATCCTAACCTATTTATACTTAATAACATTACATTCATCATATTATTTTTAACTTTTAGAATATCAATAGGCTTGATAAGCCCTCCAAAAATACACATTAATGAAATCTTTTTATACTCATATTTTTCTTTCATAACCAATAATTAAGAAGATAACCAAGTATATTCAAATATTTAAATATTCTTATCCTAACCTATTTATACTTAATAACATTACATTCATCATATTATTTTTTAACTTTTAGAATATCATAATAGGCTTGATAAGTCCCCCAAAAATTTTTTCCTGATGATAGCCAAACATTATCAATTATAATTTAATTTTTATTATTTTTATATCTTCTTCCCCCCCCCCTTTTTTAATCTTATTTTTTAATTACCTGACAATTAATTAAACTTAATCCCAAAATTTTTTTATGATGATAGCCTTCCATCTACTAGAAATATGCTAATTTTGACCCATCTACCGGTTTTACATTATTTTAATGTTTGTTTAATTTCAACAATAGTTTATTTATATTTTTGCCTGATTTCTAATAGGCTTGATAAGTCCCCAAAAAAAATTTTCTGATGATAGCCATACCTTATCAATTCCTTTACTTTAATTTTTATAATATCATAAATTATACCTTATTTTTTCCCCCTTTTAATCTTTTTTTTTAATTACCTAACAATTAATTAACCTTTATCTTAATAACATTACATTCATGTTATTTTTTAACTTTTAGAATATCATAATAGGCTTGATAAGTCCCCGAAAAATTTTTTTTGATGATAGCCCTCCAACTACTAGAAATATGCATCTAATTTTGACCCATCTACTGGTTTTACATTATTTTAATTTTTGTTTAATTTCAACAATAGTTTATTTATATTTTTGCCTGATTTCTTTATTTGTCTAGGCTAACCCTAATCCTCTATTTTAGCTTCTGATGGATGATATTCCCACTATTTCTAGAGAGGTTAACCTAATATTGACTCTTCTTCAGGTTTAATACATTAATGTTTTTTATTTATTCTTTTGTTTTTATTTTAGATAACAAGCCCTGTCTTACCCTCACTTAATGATTGTACAGGTGGTATATTGACTCCTCATCAGGTTCAATGGATTTTTATTTATTTATTCTTTTGTTTTTATTTTAGACAACAAGCCATGTCCTAACCTCAGTTAATGATTGTACAGGAGGTGATTTATCCATCATTAATAAAAGAAAAAGATGGCAAGTCAATCAAAAAAAGAAACGCACTAGGGATAGCGAGGCCCTACAAAATCTACTAAGAACGCAAAATAAAGTTAGCCTTATATATATTTTTTTATACTCTTTTATATTATAGAATACATCTATTTTAGCTTCTGATAATGTCCCCACTATTTTTAGGGAGTTGAACCTAATATTGACTCCTCTTCAGGTTCATTGCATTTATATTTTTTATATTATTCTTTGTTTTTATTTTAGATAATAAGCCCTGTCTTACCCTCATTTAATGAATGTACAGGTGGTATATTGACTCCTCATCAGGTTCAATGCATTTTTTTTTATTTATTCTTTAGTTTTTATTTTAGATAACAAGCCATGTCCTAACCTCACTTAATGATTGTACAGGTGGTGATTTATCCATCATTAATAAAAGAAAAAGATGGCAGGTCAATCAAAAAAAGAAACGCACTAGGGATAGCGAGGCCCTACAAAATCTACTAAGAACGCAAAATAAAGTTAGCCTTATATATATTTTTTTATACTCTTTTATATTATAGAATACATCTATTTTAGCTTCTGATAATGTCCCCACTATTTCTAGGGAGTTGAACCTAATATTGATTCCTCTTCAGGTTCATTGCATTTATATTTTTTATATTATTCTTTGTTTTTATTTTAGATAACAAGCCCTGTCTTACCCTCACTTAATGATTGTACAGGTGGTATATTGACTCCTCGTCAAGTTCAATGCATTTATTTTTTAAAATTATTCTTTTGTTTTTATTTTAGATAACAAGCCCTGTCTTAACCTCACTTAATGATTGTACAGGTGGTTATTTATCTGTCATTAGTAAAAGAAAAAGATGGCAGGTCAATCAAAAAAGGAAACGCACTAGGGATCGTGAGACCCTACAAAATCTACTAAGAACGCAAAATAAAGTTAGCCTTATATATATATATATAAATGCATAAATGTTCTTATATTTTTTTATATTTTAGAATACATCTATTTTAGCTTCTGATGATATTCCCACTATTTTTAGGGAGTTGAACCTTATATTGACTCCTCTTCAGGTTCAATGCATTTATATTTTTTAAATTATTCTTTTGTTTTTATTTTAGAAACAAACCGTCTTAACCTCATTTAATGATTGTACAGATGGTGATTTATCCGTCATTAATGAAAGAAAAAGATGGCAGGTCAATCAACAAAAGAATAGCTATAGGGATTGTTGATCCCAGCAAAATATACTAACAACACATAATAAAGTTAGTGTATATATATATATACTAGTAGATAGCCCGTCAAAAATGACGGAGAATGAGAATTTTATTCGTTTTTTAAGAAAGATGTTACCTTTTATTTAAAAATCATATTTAATTTATATAATCTGAGGAGAAGAACGCGAAATGATATTTCTGCCAAAGTGTCAATTTTGGTATACCCCTCTAAAATAGAATCATGAACGACATTGTCAACTCAACCATAAAACGGTCGTAAGTATTTTTATAAAGGCCATGACAAAACTATCGCATATTTTCCCATTAATAATGTTAATGAAATTGGCTGCACTACACATTCACGTTTGAACATCTCTCTAAATATTCATGAAAGTTCCTCAGGGAATCGGATAAAGTATTATTTATAATAACTCCTAATGAGGTGAATGATAGTGGAATTAAATGCTTATATTGTTAAAAATTAGGCAGAGGTGGCATAGGGATTGTGTTAGTGGTGATAGAAATATCATTTGGAGGCAACTGGGTATATAAAATAAACAGATAGATATAAAACATTAGATAAAAAACAAAATAAACCTCCAGAGGAGTTCACAGTGCCTTATTATCTTGGCCACCAGTAACTCTAGAACGGGTAAGGCGTTTGTTGAATCGCCATTTTTTCCTTTGCTTATCTTTAATAATAGATTCTTCATGTTTGGTAGCAATGTGAGGGATTAGGGTTAGCCTAGACAAATAAAGAAATCAGGCAAAAATATAAATATACTATTGTTGAAATTAAACAAACATTAAAATAATGTAAAACCGGTAGAAGGGTCAATATTAGATGCATATTTCTAATAAGTTGGAGGGTTATCATCAAATAAAATTTTTGGGGGACTTATCAAGTCTATTATGATATTATAAAAGTTAAAAAATAACATGATAAATGTAATGTTATTAAGATAAAGGTTAATTAATTGTAAGGTAATTAAAAAATTAGATTAAAAAAGGGGGGAAAAAGAAGGTATAAATTATTATATTATATTATATAAATTAAAGGTGATAAGGTTTTGAGATATAGTGGTTAATAGATAATAGAGATAGAAAGAAAAGAATGAGATAATAAAATTTAGTGATAAATAAAAATGTTTATTTTTGTTAAAAAATAGGTGGAGGTGGCATAGGTATTGTCATAGTGGTGATAGAAATATCATTTGGAGAACTGGGTGAAAATAAAATAAACATAGATATAAAACATAAGATAAAAAAAAACCTCCAGATGAGTTCATTTCAAGCGTAGTTCTTTATTATTTTGTCTACCAGTAACTCTAGAACGGGTAAGGCGTTTGTTTATTCGTCATTATTTTCTTTGCTTATCTTTAATAATAGAATCATCATGTTTTGTAGCAATGTGAGGGAATAAGGTTGGGTTAGCCTAGACAAATAAAAAAATCAGGCAAAAATATAAATAAACATTATTATTGAAATAAAATGAAGATTTTTTTGAATAGATATAAAATAATATATAATATTATTTATAATAAAAATAATGTACTATGTATATTTTCTGTGCGTTATACAAAATAATCAGCAGGGATAATAGAGCAATGGTGGATCCGACAAAATGGTAAGCTTTTAAAAAAGTAGGATCCTTAAAAATTGTTATATTCATTTAGTTAAATTTTAAAAATGTACTTTGATATAATTTTCAATTAGACAAAATATTCATCAGAGATAAAAGGGCATATTGAGCGGCCTGACAAAAGGATGCTTAAATAATATAAAATTGTTTAAATTATAAAATAATATCATACTAAGTAATGTTCATTCTTATTTGTATAAACCGGGATTAATCGGATATAACCTCATGATATACCACATTGGTAGTAGTCTTTGTTTTATCATTGGTTATAATCTTTAATTTATGAGGATAACAAACTCGAGACATAGCCACATATAGCTGTCCATGTGAAAAAACAGGATGAGGTAAATAGATGCCAACTTTGTTCAACGTTTGTCCCTGAGCTTTATTAATTGTCATGACAAAAGCAGGTCTCACGGGAAATTGGCGGCGCTTAAAGGAAAATGGCAAGCCAGAATCTGTAGGAATTAAACTTATTCTAGGAATGAGAACTTTAGTACTGAGAAAACTACCAGAAACAAATTCCGCCTCAATTATATTTGGTAGCAAAGAAGTTATAATCAATTTAGTCATATTATTCAAACCACAGAATTTAAGTTACGCATTAATATTATAGGTACCCCGACTTTGAGTAAATGTTTGTGAGGTGGTAATCCTGATATAGTTAAAGAGTTTAAAAATTCAGTGGGATAAAACGTCGCTTCATCCTCGGTTATCGTTTTATCAGAACTTATGTATGTAATTAAATCTCCCGGAATTTTGTTAATCAATTTAATATTTATAGAATCGACATCTACGTTTTTAGGGGTCAGGATTGCATTTTGAGCAAATGATGTTTTAAAGGGCGTATTGTATTGTCTATATCGTAAACAAAATCAATAAGATCCTCGATATCATTAGAAGCTATACAACAATCTTCAGGAATTTTTATTTATATCCCTGGAGCCATCAAATGTTTCATAGCCTTCACCAACTCTTAAAAGAAATTTTGAGTATTTATTATTAATAAGATAATCATTTGCTTCCTGAAATTATAGAAGTCTCATATTAATACCTAGCCTTAATGGCACTATATGCGACCATAAATAGGATCGTTTTAAGGTTGAGTTAACAATGTCGCATCTTCCACCACGTTTAATAACAAGTAAAATCTGTCTAAAATCTCCGCCAAAAATAATAATTTTACCACCAAACGGTTTGTCTAATTTCATTATATTCTGAAATGACCTATCCACGGCTTCGAATATATGTTTATGAGTCATTGATATTTCGTCCCATATTATAATTACCGATTGTCTTATCAATTCAGCTATTTGGCTTTGGTAAGGAATATTACATGAGGAACTTTCATGAATACTTAAGGGGATGTTGAAACGTGAATGTGCAGTACGGCCATTATGAAGAAGAGTTGAAGCTATGCCAGATGATGCAACAGCTATAGCAATTTTACCTTGAGCTCTCAAGTTAAATAATATTGTATTTAATAGAAATGATTTTCCAGTACCACCAGGACCATCTATAAAAAATAAATTATGGGATGGAGTGGAGGGCAAGGACATAATTTTGGCATAGATAATATTTTGATCCCGATTAAATAAATTGTAGTTAGCCAAATATTTTTTATACATATCATCAGTATCGTAGGAAATTTCCTCCCGAATAAGGTGACACCTAATATTAGCTGTAGCAGATGGAGATTGGGTGGATAATAAAGGGATAGGCATTCCCAAAAAATCCTTAAGAGATTTACCATTTTGAATCAAAATTTGATTGATGTGGCATAGCGCGAGATTTTCGGTGATAAGGTTATCCAGCTCTGGTGATATTTTCTTTTAAAAATCTTCACAAAGATAAAATTTAAAAGAATTCCAAAGACCTAGAGGATCTCTCGGCTCACAATGTAATAAAATAACAGAAAATAACTGGCGCAATTGATATGGCATCTTAAATGAAAGACCTTCCTCTAAACAATGGTTCCATTCCGCATCATCTGATAACAGACCACGTCGAATACATGCATCTTTAAAAGTGTTACTGATAATTCCATTAAAAGAGCGTAGATCTTCAAAGCATTTAGGCCCAGTAACATAATTAAGTAATAGTCTTAAATAAAAAACCTCACCCTCTTTAGGAGAAACTGTGCGTATACGGCCTATAACTTTATTACCACCCCTTTTCGTTTTAACCACTGTTTAGATAGAGGTTTCCACACATAATATCTTACAAAATCTGCATAAATATAATGTCTGGCATCTGTGTCAAGTTGATTAATTTTAAACCATTCGGTTAATTTTGTACCAGGATTTTTAGTTAAGATATTATTTATATCAGTATTTGATTGAAAAAGGATTATATGTTGATTGGGTAGATGAAGGTCTAAACGATAGACTGCAGGAGAATGATCCTGCATTTCCAAATCCAAAGTACGCCATAGCGATTCTATGGCGGATATATATCGAGCATCAATGAACTGGGAAGTTTCATCAACATTATTAATGGAAACGGAAGCAGTAGTTCTGTCATGGCCTTTGTAACAATACTTATAAAGGTATTTTATGGACTGGACAGATGAACAAATTTCTACATTTATATGTGCATTATATTTTTTTGATAAATGTTTATTATAAGGAATAATCCAACGGTTGTTAAATATAAATCCGTTTAATTTTTTTTGGATGTAACGCCATCATTTCGTCGCCTATATAAAGCATAACCATACTTATCGATAGAAGAGGTATCCACAAATGATTTAGGATATTTTTTTGAGCATAAATGTTATACCACATGGCCCATGTGTATTAAAATTGCTAATAATTTGAAACAGCTTAGGCTCAGTTATTTTGTTAGGAATTTCAGAACAAACTACATCATCATAAGTATCAGCCGTTGGTAGCCTATGAGATTTATCTAGTATAAGGCACATATGACAATGAGGCAAACCTCTTTTCTGGAATTCTATGACATCTATATAAGCGATTACTTTGCCAAGAACATGATAATAGAGCAAATCCTTTTAGACATTTTAATTTTTGACGAAAAACGCGACAAACTAAATCTGGGCGGTCGTTTGGGGTCTGATGAGGAAATAATTCACGCATTATTTCATCCCATTTAGTGTTGCAGGTGAAAGTAATGAATAATGATGGTTTACCAAAGCAGCGTACAATAGCCATTGCGTCCTGATAAAGCTAATGCATATGCCTTGGGCCACCGGTAAAAGAAGAAGGCAAAATTATTCTTCTACCAAGATTGTCAGCATTAGTATTTCCCTCTAAAATAGCATCATGTATGCTTTGATAGAGTTCCGCGCGTAATTTGGATTGATTATTACGTATAAAATTTAATCGAAGCGTTTCCTGTTTGGCATAACTGTCGACAATAAATTGGTGAAAAATACGTTTGGATCTTAAAATAACATTCTCATCATCCTGCCTGACCATAAAGCGATAGGCATAGTACTCTCTGCAGGTAACATATTTATTAGTTGAGTTTCTATAATGAATGGATGGATGGTATCCAATATCGCCTCTGGGAAATAGAAAAACATATTGCAAGGGATCGTATGAGGAATGGAGCTCATTAATATGTCTTAAAAGACCAGATTTAGTTTTTAAGATAATATCTCTATGGGCTATATGATCACTGCCATCACCAGGTAATAATACTGCTATTTCAGATGAGGTAGGTTTATTGCGAGAACGTACGTCAAAACTTGAAGTAGATTTTAAGTTTAAGGATATGTTAGGAACGCCAGTAGCGATCATAGAAGATACTCTCAAAAATTGAGAAGCAAAGGGGTTGTAGGTGTGAACAATATCCTGCAATTCCATTAAAAGACAACGATCTAAAAACGGAACCTGGTTATGTCTGTTTTCTATCTCATTTATACTATCATGTATATATAAATGGGCAAATTTAGGAGTTTCCCCTAATGTTGGTAGGAGTGAATCAATGCGATGATGAACCTGTTCATTAATTTGAAAGGTATAATTACCTGATCGCGAATTGGATAAATTATTATTTATATTAACTCCTAGTGAAGTGAATGACAGTGCGGAATTATAAGCTCTTATGTTTGTTAAAAGGTGGGATGATGAACAATGATTCCCGGTAAATAAACGTAATAAATTTGGTGGTAATTGGGAAATTTTAGATAAAAATACCTACCCATTCAAACAACATGTAGAAAACTGAATATTTCTACATGAGCTTTTTGATAATTTTTCTCCATTCTACATTTTAGCATTGCAGAAGGCGCATATTTCTGTCATATTTCCGATATCTAATATAGGTGAGTGGTGGTCATCAAATATATGTCGAAATATACATGGTAGAGGTGCCATAGGGAATGTGCTAGTGGTTATAGAAATATCAGTTGACGGTATCTGGGTGATTATAAAATAAACCTATACATATATAACATTAAAAACCTTCAAGGGAGTTAATATCAGGCGTAGGTCCTTATTATCCTGCATACCTGTAATTCTAGAACGGGTAAGGCGTTTGTTGAGTCGCCATTTTTTTCTTTGATTATCTTTAATAGAAATATCATGTTTTGTAGCTATGTGAGGGATTAAGTTTGGGTTAACCTAAAATAAATAAGGAAATCAGGCATAAATATAAAACATTATTATTGAAATAAAACGAACATTAAAATACTGTACTGAACCTGTAAAGGGGTCAATATATGCATATCTCTAGTAGATGGGAGGCTATCATCAAAAAATAAAATTTGTCTAGTTGGGGACTTGTCAAGACTATCGTGTTTTTCTGAACATTTATTTTGTATTTGTTGATTATTAATGGTAGATATATCATTATTTAAACAATTATAAGGAGGAAATAAAGAAGAGTTTGTTATCTAAAATAAAAACAGAAGAATAATTAAAAAATATAAATGCATTGAACCTGAAAAGGAGTCAATATAAGGTTCTACTCCCTAGAAATAGTGGGGACATTATCAGAAGCTAAAATAGATGTATTCTATAATATAAAAGAGTATAAAAAAATATATATATAAGGCTAACCTTATTTTGAGTTGTTAGTAGATTTTGTAGGACCTCGCTATCCCTAGTGCGTTTCTTTTTTTGATTGATCTGCCATCTTTTTCTTTTATTAATGATGGATAAATCACCACCTGAACAATCAATAACTGAGGTTAGGACATGGCTTGTTATCTAAAATAAAAACAAAAAAATAAATAAAAAAATAAATGCATTAAACTTGATGAGGAGTCAATATACCACCTGTACAATCATTAAATGAGGGTAAGACAGGGCTTGTTATCTAAAATAAAAACAAAGAATAATATAAAGAATATAAGAATAAATAAAAAAAATAAATGCATTGAACTTGATGAGGAGAATATACCACCTGTACAATCATTAAATGAGGGTAAGACAGGGCTTGTTATCTAAAATAAAAACAAAGAATAATATAAAGAATATAAATGCAATGAACCTGAAGAGGAGTCAATATTAGGTTCAACTCTCTAGAAATAGTTGGGACATTATCAGAAGCTAAAATAGATGTATACTATAATATAAAAGAGTAAAAAAAATATATATATAGAAACAAAAGAATAAATAAAAAAAATAAATGCATTGAATTTGATGAGGAGTCAATATACCACCTGTACAATCCTTAAATGAGGGTAAGACAGGGCTTGTTATCTAAAATAAAAACAAAAGAATAATTTTAAAAAATAAATGCATTGAACTTGACGAGGAGTCAATATACCACCTGTACAATCATTAAGTGAGGGTAAGACAGGGCTTGTTATCTAAAATAAAAACAAAGAATAATATAAAGAATATAATTGCAATGAACCTGAAGAGGAGTCAAAAACAAAAGAATAAATAAAAAAAATAAATGCATTGAACTTGATGAGGAGTCAATATACCACCTGTACAATCCTTAAATGAGGGTAAGACATGGCTTGTTATCTAAAATAGAAACAAAAGAATAAATAAAAAAAATAAATGCATTGAACTTGATGAGGAATCAATATACCACCTGTACAATCATTAAATATGGGTAAGACATGGCTTGTTATCTAAAATAAAAACAAAGAATAATATAAAGAATATAAATGCAATGAACATGATCTAAAATAAAAACAAAAGAATAAATAAAAAATAGAGTCAATATTAGGTTAACCTCTCTAGAAATAGTGGGAATACAATCATTAACTGAGGTTAGGACATGGCTTGTTATCTAAAATAGAAACAAAAGAATAAATAAATAAACTAAATGCATTGAACTTGATGAGGAGTCAATATACCACCTGTACAATCATTAAATATGGGTAAGACATGGCTTGTTATCTAAAATAGAAACAAAAGAATAAATAAAAAAAATAAAAGCATCGAACTTGATGAGGAGTCAATATACCACCTGTACAAACATTAAATATGGGTAAGTAAAAACAAAGAATAATATAAAGAATATAAATGCAATGAACATGATCTAAAATAAAAACAAAAGAATAAATAAAAAATAAGTCAATATTAGGTTAACCTCTAGTGGGAATATCATCCATCATAAGCTAAAAATAGATATGATCATAAAAAATGAACAAATAAATTATTTCTTCTGATTTCAGGAATTCAAATAAAATGATAATCTCTAAAAATTGGTATCTGGCACTCCGATTTCAGTCAAGGAAAATGATAGTCTCATAAAAAATCAACAAATAAATTACTTCTTCTGATTTCAGAATTTGGTATGAACATCTGTTTAATAAAATATAACAAATAATAAATAAATACGTACCGATGACATGACGTAACGATGACATGACGTAGCGATGACATGACGTAGCGATGACATGACGTCACGATGACGTAGTGAGGACATCGGAAAATTATAATATAGATATACTAAAAAGCATAAATATTCTTATATTTTTTTATTTTTTAGAATACATCCATTTTAGCTTCTGATGATATTCCCACTATTTCTAGGGAGTTGATCCTAATCTTGACTCCTCTGCAAGTTTAACGCATTCATTTTTTTAAAATTTTTTATTTGTTTTTATTTTAGATAACAAATCCTGCTTTATTTCCTTAATATAATTGTTTAAATATTGATATATCTACCATTAATAATCAACAAATACAAAATAAATATTCAGAAAAACATGATAGTCTTGATAAGTCCCCAACTAGACAAATTTTATTTTTTGATGATAGCCTCCCAACTACTAGAGATATGCATATATTGACCCCTTTACAGGTTCAGTACAGTATTTTAATGTTCGTTTTATTTCAATAATAATGTTTTATATTTTTGCCTGATTTCCTTATTTTTTTAGGCTAACCCAACCTTGATCCTCACATTGCTACAAAACATGATATTTCTATTAAAGATAAGCAAAGAAAAAAATGGCGACTCAACAAACGCCTTACCCGTTTTAGAATTAGGACCTACGCCTGATATTAACTCCCCTGCAGGTTTTTAATGTTTTATATATATAAGTTTATTTTATATTCACCCAGATACCTTCAACTGATATTTCTATGATCAGTACCGCATTCCTTATGGCACCTCTACCATGCATATTTCTACATATATTTGATGACCACCACTCACCTATATTAGATATCGGAAACATGACAGAAATATGCGCCTTCTTCAATGCTTAAATGTGGAATGGAGAAAAATTATCAAAAAGCTCATGTAGAAATATTCAGTTTTCTACATGTTGCTTAAATGGGAAGGTAATTTTATTTAAAATTTCCCAATTACCACCAAATTTATTACGTTTATTTACCGGGGATCATTGTTTATCATCCCACTTTTTAACAAACATAAGAGCATATAATTCCGCACCATTCACTTCACTAGGAGTTAATATAAATAATAATTTATCCGATTCGAGATCAGGTAATTATACCTTTCAAATTAATGGACAGGTTCAACATCGCATTGGTTCACTCCTACCAACATTAGGGGAAACACCTAAATTTGCCCAATTATATATACATGATAGTATAAATGAGATAGAAAACAGACATAACCAGGTTCCGTTTTTAGATCGTTGTCTTTTAATGGAATTGCAGGATATTGTTCACACCTACAACCCCTTTGCTTCTCAATTTTTGAGAGTATCTTCTATGATCGCTAAGGCCTTCCTAACATATCCTTAAACTTAAATACTACTCCAAGTTTTGACATACGTTATCGCAATAAACCTACCTCATCTGAAATAGCAGTATTATTACCTGGTGATGGCAGTGATCATATAGCCCTATCTGGTCCTTTAAGACGTATTAACGAGCTCCATTCCTCATACGATCCCTTGCAATATGTTCTTCTATTTCCCAGAGCCGATATTGGATACCACCAACCCATTCATTATAGAAACTCAACTAATAAATATGTTACCTGCAGAGAGTACTATGCCTATCGCTTTATGGTCAGGCAGGATGAAGAGAATGTTATTTTAAGATCCAAACGTCTTTTTCACCAATTTATCGTCGACAGTTATGCCAAACAGGAGACGCTTCGATTAAATTTTATACGTAATAATCAATCCAAATTACGCGCCGAACTCTATCAAGGCATACATGATGCTATTTTAGAGGGAGATACTAATGCTGACAATCTTGGCAGAAGAATAATTTTGCCTTCTTCTTTTACCGGTGGCCCAAGGCATATGCATCAGCTTTATCAGGACGCAATGGCTATTGTACGCTGCTTTGGTAAGCCATCATTATTCATTACTTTCACCTGCAACCCTAAATGGATTGAAATAATGCTTGAATTATTTACTCATCTGAACCCAAACGACCGCCCAGATTGAGTTTGTCGCGTTTTTCGTCAAAAATTAAAATGTCTAAAAAAGGATTTGCTCTATTATCATGTTCTTGGCAGAGTAATCGCTTATATAGATGTCATAGAATTCCAGAAAAGAGGTTTGCCTCATTGTCATATGTGCCTTATACTAGATATATCTCATAGGCTACCAACGGCTGATCTTATGATGAGGTAGTTAGTGCTGAGATTCCTAACAAAATAACTGAGCCTAAGTTGTTTCAAATTATTAGCAATTTTAATACACATGGGCCATGTGGTATAACATTTCCTAATAGTCCCTGCATGATTGATGGAAAATGCTCAAAAAAATATCCTAAATCATTTGTGGATACCTCTTCTATTGATAAGTATGGTTATCCTTTATATCAGCGACGAAATTATGGCGTTACCTTCCAAAAAAATTAAACGGATTTATATTTAACAACCGTTGGATTATTCCTTATAATAAACATTTATCAAAAAAATATAATGCACATATAAATGTAGAAATTTGTTCTTCTATCCAGTCCATAAAATACCTTTATAAGTATTGTTACAAAGGCCATGACAGAACTACTGCTTCCGTTTCCATTAATAATGTTGATGAAACTTCCCAGTTCATTGATGCTCGATATATATCCGCCATAGAATCGCTATGGCGTACTTTGGATTTTGAAATGCAGGATCATTCTCCTGCAGTCTATCGTTTAGACCTTCATCTATCCAATCAACATATAATCCTTTTTCAATCAAATACTGATATAAATATTATCTTAACTAAAAATCCTGATACAAAATTAACCGAATGGTTTAAAATTAATCAACTTGACACAGATGCCAGACATTATATTTATGCAGATTTTGTAAGATATTATGTGTGGAAACCTCTATCTAAACAGTAGATAAAACGACAAAGGGGTGGTGATAAGGTTATTGGCCGTATACGCACAGTTTCTCCTAAAGAGGGTGAGGTTTTTTATTTAAGACTATTACTTATTTATGTAGCTGGGCCAACATGCTTTGAAGATCTATGCTTTTTTAATGGAATTGTCAGTAATACAAGATGCATGTATTCGACGTGGTCTGTTATCAGATGATGCGGAATGGAACCATTGTTTAGAGGAAGGTCTTTCATTTAAGATGCCATATCAATTGCGCCAGTTATTTTCTGTTATTTTATTACATTGTGAGTCGAGAGATCCTCTGGATTTCTTTTATATTTTATCTTTGTGAAGATTTTGCCAAGAAAATATCATCAGAGCCGGATAACCTTATCAACAAAAATCTCGCGCTATGCCACATCAATCAAATTTTGATTCAAAATGGTAAATCTCTTAAGGATTTTTTGGGAATGCCTATCCCTTTATTATCCACTTAATCTCCATCTGCAACAGCTAATATCAGGTGTCACCTTATTCGGGAGGAAATTTCCTACCATACTGATGATATGTATAAAAAATATTTGGCTAACTACAATTTATTTAATCGGGATCAAAATATTATCTATACCAAAATTATGTCCTTGCCCTCCACTCCACCCCATAATTTATTTTTTATAGATGGTCCTGGTGGTACTGGAAAATCATTTCTATTAAATACAATATTATTTAACTTGAGATCTCAAGGTAAAATTGCAATAGCTGTTGCATCTTCTGGCATTGCTTCAACTCTTCTTCATAATGACCGTACTGCACATTCACGTTTCAACATCCCCTTAAGTATTTATGAAAGTTCCTCATGTAATATTCCTTACCAAAGCAAAATAGCTGAATTGATAAGACAATCGGTAATTATATTATGGGACGAAATATCAATGACTCATAAACATATATTCGAGGCCGTGGATAGGTCATTTCAGAATATAATGAAATTAGACAAACCGTTTGGTGGTAAAATTATTATTTTTGGCGGAGATTTTAGACAGATTTTACTTGTTATTAAACGTGGTGGAAGATGCGACATTGTTAACTCAACCTTAAAACG